AAATAAGTCAGAGAAAGACAAATACTGTGTGATATCTCCTATATGTGAAACCCTCCCCCCGATAAATAAATGACCAAGCTCCGAGACAGAACAGATTGGTGGTTAGAGAGTAGGGGTGGGGAGAGGGAGAAGTGGCTGCAGAGGGTCAAAGGTAAAAAATAAAATAAAAACAATTTTACATAGTGGAGGTCTTCCTACCTAAAACACAACCCGAGAGAAAAAATTTCTAAAACTGACTACATTAAAATACATTTTTTCACATGGGAAAATGCCATACACAAAGAAAATAAAAATGACTAAGAAGTATTTTCAGTATATGATGTGCAACGTGTTTACTATCAAGAACTCTTACAAATCAATAAGAACAAGAGCAATCAACCAATAGACAAATGGACAAAAGACACGAACTGAAGTTCACAAGAAAAAGGATTTTCATACGTGAAAAAATGCTTTAAAATGCAGAAATGTAAGTTAGCCACCATAGAATACAAGTTTTCATCTGTGAGGTTGGCAAAGATAAAAAGGAACACCCTCCTAGTGAGGGTGAGGGCAGGAGGCACTGGGTAAGTGGGCCAAAAAGTCTCTGTAGAGGAAAACTGGGAACTGTCTACATGAATTTAAAACACAAACACCCTTTGACTTGGCAATTTTATTTCTAAAGTTTTGCATGTGTGGGCAAGTACGTTTGTCCAAAGACATTAAATGTAGTTCTGTCTATGAAAGCAAAAGACTGAAAACAATGTAAATGTCTTTCAATAGAGGATGGTCGTAGAGAAGTATGTCCACCAATGGAAAACACCAAGAAAGTAAAAAGCATGAGCCAGATATGTACGGTTGGATCTGGTCCAATGTCCTAAGTAAAAAAACCAACCAACCAACCAACACAAACCAGCTTGTAAAACACGCTATATACTGTTTTTAAATGATGAATGTGTCTCAGCATGCACCTGCTTATTTCTACATGGACCGCCCCCCAGAGGAAATACAAGAATCTTCCAGTGGGGGGGGTGCAGTACATCTAAGGGGCAGAATGAAGAAACTGGGGGTCAACGTGAAAGGGGAGCTTTCGAATTTCCATTGTCTACCCTTTCACACTGATGAATTTTTTCCATCAGTGTTACTTGAAGTGTATTACATGAAAATTACATAATTTATTGAAGCCTGATCCTTTATCAAAATAGTTGTTGGAAGTTAGAACAATAACCTGGAAATGCTAAGCCCAGCTCCCTGGACTGGGCTCTGCCAATGACTTGCTATCCAGCAGGTCCTGAAAGTTCTCTCTCCATGTCTCATGTTCTGCTGTAGTAAGTGAGATCTTCAACACTGTCTCCGTCTGAATTGTGTATTACTAATATCAGTCAATAACCAGCAGGCAGTGCTATTTCAGTATCTGCGAAGACACCTCAATGGTTCACCTGGTGTGTAGACACCTATACATCTATCAGGAGCAGTTTCCTATCAAAATGATGCTCACTATGTTCAGTGAATTTTAAACCATGGCTCTGTCTACGCTTCTTTCCTCAGCTAATTTTTTGGTATGTTTCTAAAATAGTTTTTTTAATATAAAAATTTTCTAATAACAGAAAATATTCCATTAAAAACGGAAATGCCAACAGAGGCCTAATCTATAAGCTTAAATGACTGCCCGTGAGGCAGTAATATAGCTTCTGGGCACACGAATTCCGCACACGTGAAGGCTGCATGCACACTCTTCAGCTGGCCGGCCTGCACGTGACCCTCTTAGCTACTGGAAGACCGTGCGGGGCTGGTCCAGAGATGCTGCACCCGCACTGTCTGGGGCATGCCGACTGTGAATGGGCGCCGCTGGCCTTACACTTCTCCACTCCCCCGCCGGTTTTTCTGGGAACACTTACTAAGAAATCACCTTTGTAAGAATCTTTTATCTCAGAGTCTGTTTCCAAGGAACCCAAGCTGAGATGATGTGTTTTTCTTTTATGCAAAGCGGCTCATCATAATTAGCAGACAGCAGAATGATATCAATATAACATGTAAGTTGGGTTGGTTCATAATGGATTTATTTCCAGAATACTAATGTTCTAAAAAGTAATCAGGATCCAGCTTTCTTATAATTGATAAGAAAGCCTTAGCAATATATAAACACATTAAAAAAAACCCACCTGAATACAATTCCAATTATATAAAAATATACATGCGCAAATTTATGAGGCATTGTTAGTAACTGCAAACTACTGGGGATAACTTGGATGCCTATGCATAGGAGAGTGGCTGAATAAACTATGGCACATCCATGCAGTGGAACACAACACAGCTACGGCAAAGCGTGAGCATGAACTCTATGAACTGATACAGGGCGATTTACAGGGCATACTGCTAAGTAAATAAAATGCAAAGCCCAAAAGAGTATTTATACCCTGATATCCCTCATGCAAGAAAAGAGGGGATGTAAAACAATACATATCTGCTCATTTGTGCAAAAGAAATATAAGAAAGTTAAGCCAGCACTGGCTGGTGTAGCTCAGTGGGTTGAGTGTGGGCCTGTGAACCAACCAGAGGATCGCAGTTCGATTCCCAGTTAGGGCACATGCCTGGGTTGCAGCCCAGTTTCCAGCAGAGGACCCACGAGAGGCAACCATACACTGATATTTCTCTCCCTTTCTCTTTCCCTTCCCTTCTAAAGATAAATAAATAAAATTTAAAAAAGAAAGTTAAGCCAGAAACTAAAGAGATTGTTTACTTACAGGGATGAATGGGAAAAGGACTGAAATGGGGACTGAAAAGGGGGGTCGGAGCAGGGAGCAGGATGAAGAGGGACTGTGTCTCCTGGAGCTCTGACTGCGAGCACCACAGTAATGCTATGCGTGCCCTATAACCACCCCAGATAACAGAACACGGGGAAACCCGACAAGCGGATGAGAACACTGACAAGTGAGCCTAACTGCACTTCAACTGAATAACATAAGCACATGGACAGAGCGGAGAAGATCTAAACCAAGTGACTTTGGAAAACAGCACCTTCACTGGACGCTGTATGGCCAGAAAGGACAGAACACACTGCACTGGAGTGCCGCGATCGAGTTCGGGAAAGTGCTTCTCACCCGGGGCCAGCAATTCTGAAACTGCAATATGTTATTCTGAGCAAATAACATCGTGTAGATAATGATATCTGGGTGTCTCACTATCAGGAGAAGAAGTTACAAATAAGGAAAGGGGGACAGGGTAAATGAACCCTGTGCTATAGAACTGAAGTCAGGCATCAGTTCATACTCGTGGCTTTAAAATACAAAACAAATACAGATAGCCAGACACAGAAACACAGATGCGTGTACATGTGTAGGTCAGCGTGCATACGTGTACTTCCAAGTTGTGTCAGCTGAGAGGACCTAGAAGCAAGGACTCTGTGGAGGTAATCAGCACAACTAGCACCAACCACTCGGTTTCTAAACATCATTCTCCAACCACAAGAACCAGAGATCTGCGGAGAAATGGTTGGTTCTAAGACTAGGGTAAGAAAAATAAAGATGAGCCTGGAACCTCCTTTGGTGCCAGAAAGTAAGGAAGTGCTAAAACAAACAAACAAACAATAAATAAATAAAATAGAGGGACCTGATGTAGGAAGACAGGAGCCGTTCTGAAGGAGATTCTATTGGCTGAAGCCAGGCCAATCTGAGCAACCAACTTAGTAATGATAGTACTGGATTTTATCCTGTAAGAATCTTAAAGTCCACACTGATACGAAAAACACTTGAAAAAGTGAAGGAATGTGGAAAGGACAATTCTTCCTGTCAGTGGAATTCTGATTAATAAATGCTGGGGGAAAGAGGGAACTGGAAAGCCACCGTTAGCCGAACACTACGGTACTAACTGTAGCAGGCAAACACGCCCACGGATGATCAAAGCAGAGACAGGACTTGCATCGCCTTAAAGCAACACCCTCGGAAATGTATTAACTCAGAGTGTAATGACAGGAGCCTCACAGTGGAGAACTGTGGCAGGCACTCTTCCTAATCCACGTGACCAGAGTTAGCATCACCCATCGCCAGACACTGCGACACGGAGCCCTTGGTGTGGCGCGGTGAGAAGGATACGTCACCCCCATGTTATTCCTGGCACACTGAGAGAAAGTGCACAAAATAACAGGGCAGTGTTCACCGGAAATGCCAAGGTCAGGAAGGACGAGGCAGATTGAAAAACTGTCGTGGCTGGAGGAGACCAAGAGGTAACAGGTAAATGCAACTTCAGATCCCTGAGAGGATCCTAGAACCGAAAAAGGGTGTTAGTGGAAAAACTGGGGAAAATCAAGTAAAGTCTGTAGCTTAATTAACAGTACTATACCAATGTTAATTTTGTGTCATTGCTCATTAAATTGGATTATGGTTATGGAAGGTGTTCACATCAGGGGAAATTGGGTGAAGAGTGTGCATGAATTCTCTGTACTGTTTTTGCCCCTTTTCTAAGTCTAGAATTATTCTACAATAAAAAACGAAAGAGCCCGAAACTCTGCAAGATGCCTTTCTCTGGTATAAATGTGGCTGGTTTGGGGGCTCGCAGAACCGCGTGTGTTCACCCCCCGCCCCCCGTGGCACTGCTTCTGGGTCTCTGAGGAGCAGGCCCTGCTCTGCCTCTGCGATGGTGCCCATGTGCACGGCTCCACAGTAACCATCAGTGCTGGCAACAGACCTGCAAACCCCGCCCCTTCATCTGCTTTTAGCCCTCCTCCAACGAGGGAATGCAGACAGGCAGTGATTTTTTTTTCATCATGGGTAGCATGGGCTTCGCATGATTAATGGGTTTACCCAAGGCTGTCCCTCTGGTGGAACCGGCCTCGTTTGAAAATTCACCATTTTAGATGGCCAAGATCCGAACACAGGAATAGGTTTCAGGAGTATGGGTACCTGGCCTATTTTTCATGCTCAAGAATAAACAGAAATGGAGAAGTTAGAACCTCAAAGAACATTGTTATGTTCTTCCCAGTTCATTAAGCCTGACAACTTTTCTATGTGAAAAGGCGATTTCCTTACTTGGAGTATGCTGGAGAAACCCAATACGGGTTGTCTTCCGCGGCTTTGGCATGGCGCAGAATGGCCTCCCGGGGATTGCTGTCATCGGTCTTGTCCAAAGCGATGTTCTTCACAATGTATGACGACAGGGTGCCCCCATGGGTCCCCACCCGGCCGCCGCGACCTGTTTCAGAGGGAAGAGCCCAAGTCGGAAACTTAACAGGTGTGACGATGTATATATAACACAGCCCGCGTACACTCTGCATGTGCGACAGGGCTGGGCAGCCCCTTAAATGGATGGCAGAGTGGGTCAGAGCCTCAGGTCTGCCTGGTTTCTGTTATTCCCTGCGAGACCTTGAGCACGCCGGGGCTTCTTCAGACTTGTCTGAAGCACACGAATTTCAAGAGTACTTGAGTACTGTCCTTTCGGCTCTCATTTATGATAATCACCACCAAAGCAGGAAATCACTAAACCTCAACTTCTCAGTAACACGTTTAAATTAAAAGAGACATTTTTGTTATATCTTTGCTGTTTAATTTACATGACACCAATGTAGGAAGAATTACGAGGAGTTTGTTATATATACACCTTTAAAAAATTCCTCAGTTCTGACCTGATCACTTGAAATTCAACTAATCAAAATAACCAATATTTGTCAGCTGCCAGTTTAGTTTTCAACAAACACATCACAGGGCTCACCATCTTCCAAGCACCTTGTTGGAGAGAAAACAAATGGGCAGAACGCACTGGCTCACGTCACTTCACTGCACCGCAGTTGCGTCGGCCGACAGAGGCTTTGCGAGAGCAGGGCTGTACTCCCCACCACACCCGACATTCAGAAATGTATGGCTTTTCAGGAAGATTTTTTTAAAGACACATGAAAAGCCAAATAACACTAAAAGATAAATTTTCTAAATCAAGCTGCAAAGAGACTAACTAAATAAGGCCAGAAATAATTAGTTGCCAAAGAATTTGTATGACCAGTCATTACAACAGGAGAGAGATCTTTGGGCTGCGGTGGCTTAAGGGGTCTTAGGAAGAGGTGAGTCCAAGCTGGGAAGCTCAGAGGATGAGGAGGTTATTTTCAATGAGCAGAATGGTTTACACACAAAAATAGAGAAAGGAAAATTCAATGGGCGTTTGGGGACCTGAGTGAACCAACAGTCACACCAGGAGGCCAGAGGCGGAGAAGGGAGGTGGGGGCTCCAAAGTGTTAGAGTCGGACTGCAGAGAACGCCGAATCTCTGGCACTGCACCCAGACAGAGGCTCGTGAAGATGCGGGGGCAGCCGCCACAGAGATGCGGAGGAGTTGGGAACAGCGGCTGTGTTCCCAGTTGGGGTGCGTGCAGGGGAGGTGGGGGGAGAGTGACTTGAGATAAGCTGCCCAGTTGGAAGGGTTTTTCAATAATCCAGGCCAGAATATTATTTCAGGAAACTTGACTAGGATTGTGGCAGAGAAAATTGTCTGAAAAATATTCGAGCGGCAGGTCCCGAACTCGGGTTCAGGTGAACGAGCAAGTCCAACGCTGTAGGTCGGGGAGCCCAGGTCGGGAGGAAGCTGTGCGGTGGTAAGAGGAAGTGGGGTTCTGGGACAGGTACGCGCTGCAGTATTGCCAGTGCTGATGGCTGTCTTCCGGTGCCGACTTGGTTCAAAATTCTAAGGACTTTCATTCCTCTTCTGGGGAAAAGGGCAGCTCCACTTCACGACACGGAACCCAACGGTGGCCATGTTACGCCTTGTGTGAGAGCCATCCCTGCCTGGATTCTGCTCCGAGTGCCCGTGTGGCACACTGAGCCGACGCTGGGAGCAGCAATTTGAACAGTGGTTCCCGGGGGCCCCAGGGTTCCACCGAGGTCACCCACAGGTGACCCACAGGGCTCAGGGCAGACAGGCCGAGCAGACAGGCCTGCAGGCCTCCTCTGCACTACAGCGGGCAGCTCCCTTTCACCAGCTGCACACAGTGCATTCTGCCTCATGTATTTCAGCCAAAACTTTTGATGCTTTGAAGAAAATGTCTGAAAACACCTATTTAGTAAAATCCCTCTGAAGACAAAGAAGCATCCAGGCCCAAAAGATTGCCCCAACTCTATGTGAATTACCCCGCCCTGCCCCCCACCCCCTTTGCATGTCACCAGCCAAGTCGTAGTCACCTGGGCCTGCCACAGGGGGCTCGGGCTTGTGAGACTTCACGGGGTCCAGTCTGTCCTTCTCCAGCTGCTTCCTGGTGCTGCGCTGGCGGGGCTCGCGGAACATGGGCAAGGCGTGAGCTGTGAGAAGGCACATTTGAAAAATTTCACTGAGTAATAACCCTTCCACCCAAAATCATAGCTAAGGCATGACTGACTAAAAGATGCATACAGTCTGATTGCAACAGTCTGATCATAAGAGACCGTCTTACTGCAACCAATTAGCCAGTTCAGCTTGGGACCAGACTCACTGTTCACCCTCCCGGCAACCCGTGCCACGCAGGAAACCCTGGTGAGGCCCCCGTTTCCCAAACCCAAAGCCCGGGTGGCAGTGAGACTTGATTTCCGTGGTTTTGAGAAGAAACACTAGTGGGACAGCCTCTTCTCTCTCCTTACAGACCTAGACGCACCCATCGGATTGGCCCCAGGCTCCCTCGGATGCCTGGCAAGCACTGGAACCACTTCACACGCCTCTGAAATGTGACCACCTCTCAGGGCCCAGCCACCGGAAGGCAGGAGCACTGTCCCTCTGAAACTGGGATAAAGGTTGCTCTGAAGGCACGGGCATGAAGGCACAGGCTGCTCCCTTGATGGAGACTTGTTCCTACTTCTACGTGGGGCACAAAACAAAACAGTGAAACCAGAGCAGTGTTTGTCCAGTAACAGCTGTTCGTTTGCTCAGTGTGATAACTACATTTCAGGACGCAAACGAGTGTACGAGTTTACAAGGAAAACTGACATTCTGGGGGGGAGGGGCAGATTGCAGGGGGCTGAGGGAGGGGTTAAATGTCTCCCTTTTGACCAAAAAAAAAGCACCTGAACAATTTCTTTGGATGCCTGCATGCAGATCAAAACCTCCTTTAAAAGGGAAGGCTTTTTTCCAGAGGACCGAGAGAGGCAGGCGGGGGGATCACAGGGATCTAAAAGGAGCTTACAGTACGTATGGCAGAAATACCTGCACCCCCTCCAACATGCTTCCAGTGCCCCCGCCCTGCACCCCACGCCGGCCTGGGCCAGGACCGCACCTCGCACCCGGTAAGCAGGCCCGCCTTGAGTCAGGGGAGCTCGGGAACAGAGCTGCCTGTCCCTCTGTCCAGCAACACGACACAACAGTATTTTTAGGAGGGGGAAAAATAGCTTTTCACTTCAAACAACTGGAGGAATGTAAGTAGGCCGCATGTAATTACATGAGCCAGACGGGTTATGACACCGACTTTAACACTTCTACTCTTGCAGAAAGTGTCATGGGATCCTCCGATCGACCCTATGTTCCAAGGGAGTCGGTCTCACAGGAGACCCAGCCCCAGGGAGAAAACCCAGCAGTACAGCGCCCCCTGGGCTTTGGGCTGAGACACTGAGAGAGTCCACAGGGGCATCCACTGAGGACCAGAGCATCCAAGATTTCCTTCCTAGCCACCACCTGACACTGAGCCTCCAGGGGACAGGAATCTGCCAGATTAACAAAGTTGTGTGTTGAACCCAGAGAAGCCACTGTGTCCTGGTAAGACTTATGATCATTCCCCAGGTAGTTAATTTCACACCGAAGAGTCTCTAAGTCAGTCTAGCCCCTGGTCACGGGATTTCAGAGGGAGATGGGGGGACCCTTCCCGCAGTCTCCTCCCTCCCTGATAAGTTCAGTTGTCCAGCCTCACACTGCCAGCCAGTAACTGGACTGGACAGATCCAGCTGCCCTGATTCGAAGACCCACACTCTTTCTTGTTTATTCTTAGAACAGACTGTTATTCTCTAAAAGGCCGCGATGGAGTAATGCATTAGGCTCACACAGGCTTTTCCATTTGGGGTTGAAAGTGACATGAAACAACTCTGTGTCTGTGATGAGTCACACAAGCTAAGGGGGTTAGCTGTTGCACCACTCGCCGCCCCGTCCACGTGAAGGGGATATTTTGTAACATATGCCCGACTCTGGGGGCCTTTCCTGTCTCTGAAGCCCTGCGACCAACACCGCACCAGCACAGGAGAGGGCTGTACGATCCAGAGGCCTGTGAGCACTACTTACGGGTGATGATGTAGTCCTGGGTCAGAGTCTCGGCTTGCTTCGCCTTCCGCTGGGTTTTAACCACACACAACTTCGCTCCCCTGAGGAGGGAAAAGTGTATCATTTTCTTTACTTGGGCTTAGAAAGGGAAGTCCGTGCTGCAAGCACCAGACCGTGTTCTGTGCACACCGTCTTCCCAGTCCTCGGCGTTCTGGGGATGGCGACGGGCAGGAAGGCCCGTGTGGGAAAGCTGGCCTGCCGGTCAGCAGCTGCCACCGAGAGGAAGGGTTCCTCTAGAAGTAACTGGGCAGCAGAAAGCTGCTTTATAGAAAACTTTATAGAAATAACCTAAAATCAAAATCTTAAGGAGATATTAATAACACTAATCAACATTTTCACCCTGATGATCAGACAGAGGGTTCAAAGTTTTGTTGATGTCCCAGAGGAAAGTGATCTTTCTTTCTAGGTGGTCAAGACCCCCAGTGGCATTTGAGCACACGCATCTGGGACCACGCTGGCATGGCAGTGTGGCCGAGGGGCTGCAGCCCAGGAATGCGTGGGATTAACCACACAGCCCGCTTGCAACATGTCACTTCTCCCAGCGATACGGGCCGTCCCGTTCAGGAGAAGCAAATACAAATCCGCAGGCTTCTTAGAGATTCCAAAGACAGCGCTTCCCAAACAGGGCTACAGAATGGAGTTCACCGTTTCTTCGAGTGGAATGGGCTCCCTCTCATCCTAGTTACATTAGCATTTTCAATTTCGGTAGCAAACAAAATCCCATTTGTTCTTAAACACCACAATATATAGCTTTCTTCAATAGGACAAGGGCTCCAATCCCAGTCCCGAAAGTTCTGAAGGGAGACAGGACTGTCTGCTTCCATTCAGAGCCAAAGTGTGGTTAACAAACACTCACTAACAAAGGATGGGTTTCCTTTCCCGTAAGGCTGTGGGCCCTCAAAGCATGTTTACGGGGGGGTTCAGAGAAATGAGCATGTGAATTTTAGTACTAGCTAACCAAGGCTTACTGTAAAGAAAGAAGTATTCAACCACCGTAGCCCAGCAGAAAGGAATCGCACCATCCTTTCCCATGTCCCTCCATGTCCGTCTTTGCGCCCGTGGACAAGGGGCAGAACTGAGGGACCAACTGTGCTTTGAGTGCAGTTCTCTGAAACACACTGATGTGCTTACGCCTGGCATTTGGGGTGGGCATGGGGTTTGCAGAGGAAAGTGTCTGCTGTCCTTTCTGCTGGCAGAGAACTGCCGCCCTGCCGAACATCCCAACCAGTACCTGATGAAAGGACAGGCAGAAAGGGAACAAAACGGACCAGCCGGTCCCATTTCCTGTAAGTGGTCGGTGCCCTGCTTTGCTAATCCCTGACACGCATCACTGCTAATGCCACTGTCCCGGGTGGTATGCAAAGTGGGCAGGGCTCCCCCCTGCCCCCCACATTTCAGCTAGAGAACTGCAAATCCCCAGGAAACTTTCACTTTGAATTCTACATGGATCAAGGGTGACATCCAAATCCTCTTTAAAGCACAAAGCTAAAAGTTTGAGGCTTCACTTTGTGCCAGCTGCGTTTTCTAAAAGGGTGGCTCCCCATCAAAGGAGGAAATAAATAAAGGCAGGGTGAAATGAAGAAGCCCTGCCCCCAGCCGCTGTCGTCCCTCTGAAACAGGCATCACTTCTAAATACCTCTGACTCTTGTTGGGGTCGTAATAGACTTTGGCCAGTCCGTTTCCAGTTCCCACCATGATCTGGTTCAGCTTGGGATGCCACAGGCAGCGGACCACACTCTGAAAAGGAAAAGGCATGGTAACCAACAGGGGCCGAATACAGACTCGGAAAAGCCTGCTGGTACTCCGATGGCTAGTTTTACTAAACTGAATGCCAAATGAAACGGTCACTCTAAGTTTTAGGACGTTTTCTTCTAACCCACATGATCCTATTCCTGAAGTTAAGCTCCATAATGTCACTTCTGTGTGTGACACCATCAAAATAACAACAACGTTCCTCTCCCTACATCCTTCCTCTCTGCTCCGGACCTCTGTGAGCCCCGCCCCACCACCTCGGGGGGGCTCACAGCCTGCAGTGCCCCTCACACGGAGCTCAGTCCTGCGACCTCTGAGGCAGAGCAGGGCCTTGCTGCTCGTGCCTCCACACACACATCATGCTGCTCTGCAGAGCAGACTGAGGCCAGGTGGTTGCTGTTTTCAGCTCCCAGAGATCCAAACCTCATAAAGCTTTCTCAGGAACAACACATACTTGCAGGCACCAAAGGACCCCGCCCCATCTCCAAGACAAACCAGCAGGACAGCAGCAGAAGCAAAGCAGAGATGCAGATGCAGAGACTGGACAGGAACCTAGTGCAAAGCTGTTTAAGAGACGGGTCACAGCAGTTCTGATCCTTTCGATTCATTCCTTGTGAGGAAAGTGAGTGGTGCTCCGGGGTTGAAAAGAACCCGTGGAGCCGCTACCTGGTTTTAATTTTTGTCCCCGGCTCGAGAGCAGGGTGGGGACGGAGGGCAGGGACGGGCAAAGACGTCGCTCGAGTTGACAGGAACACACGCGAGTGCTAGGTCTGCCGCTCTCGCTGCGGTGGAGTAAGAAATGTGTGGGAGCATCACTTCCACCCGTATTAACAACCCAGCACGCACCAAGCAACGCACGAGGACGAAGGGAAAGAGAGCACAATGAGACACTGCCATTTTCTACTCTAAGAGTAAACTGAGAATCAGGGAGTTTCTGCCTCCCAGATCTGCCTCGGGTTGAACTCGCTGGTCTCTTTTCCCTAACCATCTCACTCTTGTTAAGACAGACTCCCTGGGAATCTCTGAGGTCCCTTAGATAGAAATTCTGGCTCCCACTTGACTGGCTAAAAATATGCATATAGTTTAAATGGCTGCCAAGCCTCTCCTCAGACTCCTGAAGAATAAGAAGGAAATGCAAAGGGGCCGGCAGGACTTCTAACTCGTAGCTGGCAGAACCACTGAAGAGGGCTGAAACGTCCTACTGAGAAAATATCACACCAGAATGGCTGTGTTTTCCTTGTTGGTATGAGGGAGAGTAAGCTAGATGGGTAGATTTTCACAATTTAAGTTGTCTTTCTACAATTTTTATTAAATCTATGGCGCAGGCACTTAAAGGCAAATAAATATATATTTTAATATTCACACAAATAATAGTGAGTGACTATTAACAGGAAAACTTGAAAAATCATAAATCATAAAACCATATACAGGCTGACTTTTGGGGGAGGGCCATCAATATTTTGCACATAGTCTGTACATTTCTCCCAATAAAACTGCCTGGCAGGTAGGAGGGAATTAAACGCATCGACAGTTCAGGGTCTGCAAAGCACAGCCTGAGCCGTGGGTGCTCCGCCACCGAGACTGACTTGAGAACCATCCCCAGACCCCTGGAGCCCCCGGGGTGGGACAAGGCCAGGAACGTGGGAACGTGAGCAGAGTCACAAACATGAGTCCCTAACCTGTTTCTAAAGTAAGTCCATCCAAGCCGATACTCATCTCCTTTAAGTCTCTGCTTAAGTGTTACCGCTACACAGCTGTACTCTAAACTCCCTTTAGTCTGCTTTTTCTTTTTCCATAGCATATATCACCTTTTAACACAGTATGTAATTTATTGTTAATTGTGCTTATCATCCTGCCTTTCCCACCAGAACGTATGTCCCACACGGGCAGGGACCTTGGTCTGCTTCCTGTGGCTGTGCATCCCAAGTCCCTAGACTGGAGTCTGGTGCTCAGTAAATTTTCCCTGAAGAGATGAATTAGAAGTCACAGTTCACCCGTGCCTAAATGATTGCTCCACCAACTGGAGTTGGAGATTGTTTTCAAGTTAAAATATTACTACCTATGAGGAGTAATTTTATTTCCCCAGACTATTATTATACTCAAGTACCCTACGAATGCTCTCGGGTCGGGTCTCTCCTCGTGTGGGCCTAAGAGGAATGTGCCCAAGTCAGAGGGCAAGAGGACAGAGCAAGGGGGCTTCCTCCTTCAGAAACCTCAGCCACTCACATCTGGCCCTGGAGCCAACCTTAATGGTACTAATGTTATTTCTCTTGCTTGGTTCTCTAGAGGTCTGGCTGAGCAGTCTAAGATTACTGGTTCTCGAATATGTTTTCAAGTGAGCAGGGTGCAGAATTGGAAAAGATCCACAATGTAGGCCTGGTAGATTCCACGACACCCAGCCAAACGGGCAGTTTCCAGGGGCAGCAGGTTACTGTTCCCTCTCCCTCCGTGCTGAGGGGGTAAATGTTCCAGAGAGGCACCTGCCCGGGCGAGCAGACCAATGTCTGATTGCTTTCCAGGGAGCGCAAGCTTGGGCAATGCGTCTCCATTCCTGCTCACGACCTTTGTCCTCAGAGCTCTCACACACACGCCTGGACGGTCCACGAAAGCTCTCACGGAGAAGCACATTTACACTCCTCTCCATACAGAAGCAAGGAGAGGGCAAACAAGACCCCTGGCACTCAGCAGTCACCCCAGAGCTGCGTCCATCCACTGCGGTGGTGAGTCACCACTGCAGCCACTGTGGGCTCTGTGAGCGTCTGGCTCGGGCAAAGGGTACTTATGGCTCAATTACCCTAAAGGCTGGTTATTAATCAAATACTTCAGGGATTCCAGGGCATGGAAAGAAGAAACAATTCAAAGTCAAAGGTGGGTGGGCCTTTTTTGTTTATTAATATTTATTGTGTGTGTTTAGCTAAACTTCATGAACTTTGCAGCTAATGCGGCTCCGCACTCCGCCCTGTCAAGGAAATGCATCTTATAGCAGAGAGCTGGCCACCTGCCAAACCAAACAATCCCCGAGACGGCGGCGAGGCTGGGGAGCGAGCAGAGCGGCCACGCTGCTAACTTGTCAAACACACATCCCAGGCTTTGCTTTACAACAATGGGACACGTGCCTGTGAGAAGCCCAGGGAACCATGAGAAGACAGACGAGGCTACAGCCACGTGAAAGAGTGCATTCGCTCAATCAACCACCCACCCAACTTCCTCCATCCTCTGCCCTTGAAGAGGTGCTTCTGCAGCTGCGGGTCTGATGCATTCCAACCCACAGACTTACTGAACCATGCAGCAAATGAAGAAAATGAGTCTGAATTAAAGGGCCGGAGAAGAAGGTCGTGAGGTCTACAAGGATCAAAGCGAAAGCCTTCACATATAATGTGAAGAGTTTCGAATGGCAGCAGACCACTGCAGAGCAAAGAACTAGACCCTGAAATCAGTCTGCATTGTCTTAACCCACCAATTTGCTTAGTTAAATTGATAAAACATTTTATTCTCACACTTATCTATTTCATCTTACTAAAACACATGGGACAGCTAATGTCCTCCCTCAGCTGCCTAAGCTGAACTCCACTTGAGCACTGAACTAGGTTTAGTCTTTCAAACCGAAGCCCACCTTCATTTTAGCATTCGTAGCTGACCAGGCAGAGTAACGCCCACCTGCCCCAAAGCACTCAGCCCTCGCAGCAGGCCCGAAGGGACGCAAACCAGAGCTGGAGATCTCGAGCAAGATGACAAGGAGGAAGTTACCAGACTTTACCTGCTCGACACAGGGATCTTTCTTCTCCACAGAGACCAGAGGAGAGAGGGGGGTGGGCTGGGGCAGAACACAGCACCGTGCACAGAAGGCAGTGTCAAAACTCCAAAACGGGAATTCTGGAACTACCCCTGAGCAAAAGTGAAAAGGCCATGAAAAACCCCAAGTAATTTATTTCTGTCGTTTGGGGGTTTACTCTAAGTGAAATCATGGAAGCAAATAAGGAATGGAAAATTAAACCAACGAGAGAAATAAATTCGTATTTTAGAACGTGCTGGGAAGGGAACTATTAGGTATCTGCACTGTCGTTACTTAAAGTAACTGAATCCTGACAACAATACCACAAAATTAGCAAACTTATTTCCCCTTCACAAGAAGAAAACAGGTTTGCAGGAGGCCAGGCAGCCTTCTCGAGGCCACAGGCCTGCAGCAGAGCAGCTGGGAGCACTGGGCAGGCTCCTCCCACTGGGCAGGCTCCTCCCACTGGGCAGGCTCCTCCCACCGCAACGCTGGTCCCCTTATCCGACCTCATTACACCGAGTCCTGTTTTAGAAGATGGGGAGGGAGGGATGTCGGAGAGTTTATATCACTTTCAAACTGACCTAACCCAGAAGTAGAAATCTTAGCAAGTTTATATTAAAAAGCAGATGGCATTACTAAAATCGTAAAGGAAGAAAGCCCACCACTACCCAGTTCACAAATGTTACTACAAAAGAAATCAGTGCCTGCGTAACATCTTAGGCGTCTGTAATGCACATCCAAACTCCACCCCTTTTCCACTTCACAGGCTAAGAGAAGCCCAACATGCTTCGTAATTTTATATCTGAGACCCGATTATGATGAAACACCATTTCCTGATCCTTCCCAGCTGCTGACCCACACTGTAAACCAAACTGCATCTGGTTTTTTCCTGTTTTGTTTTTGGCACTAAGTCCAAGAATGGATATGCTAACTCAGTGATTCCTGGGGAGAACAAGCGTTTGCCAGCATTTTCAAATAAAGGGCCTTGCACCTGTCCGTGAAGGAGACTGTCCACCGTCCTGCAGACTTGTCCGGGGGCAGCCTCCCGGGCATAGACTCCCTGGCACACAGGCACAGTCGTGTGCGAGCATGTTGACCCCCAAGGCTAAGAACACAGATCAAGATGTGAGTCCAAGACAAATAAAAAGAAGCCGGAGAAAATGGAAAAGTACTGGAGAAAGAACTTCAGATTTTCAAAGTTTTATTTCAC